TAGTTGCGGTCTAGATCACACAGGTAATACCAGTCGCTAATAAAAAAAAAGCAAAAATGAATATTGATCCAATTCTCGTACTACAATTTGACTTTTTCCAAAATATTACAGACGACAGAGAAGGTTCATTTACATTACAATATACATCGACTTTAACAGTTTTTATATCGAACAACCGCGATTTTAAAACATTTTTAAAATTATTTCTAGGATTTTGTGATATTGTGTTCTTCTCGTTATTTCAACACATTCGCAGCCTCGGCATTTAAAATTTCTCAGAAAGATACCCAAAGAAATTTCAAGGACGTATTCTTTAGATGATGTTATCTTAGGAAGGCTTGAGCTCTTGATTCTCATATGGATATTTTTCAGATCTAAGTCAGAACTCCTGGATCCTTGGGAAGTCCTTTTTGATGACATCTCCTTGCATAGAATCATCGGCGAAGGAGCGTTTGGGAAAGTATACAGGGGCGAGCTTCTAAAAGAACTCATGGAGGTTGGAAAAGGAAGGAAATCTTTGCAGCGTAAGACCGACAAAGAACAACAGAAAACGAATAAGGGCCTGACCGTTGCTGTGAAAATGTTACAAAGTAAGATTTGCCTTTGTCAGCTTTTTGAAACCTATAAATATAACTGTATATAGCTTTTTATTCTCTCCTCTAAAGAGGTTTCCGACGTGTTCGCGTGCAGGCGCGGGTGTACAAGGTATAGCTATTAGTTCCGGCAAAACTACCTCTTATCTATGTAGCTAGACAACTCGCAGTATATACGCATGTCATAATCGTCTGATATACGTTTCTGAAACTTCCTATAAGCTTGGTTGTCGGTTTTTCCTCCATTCTTGTTTGCTTAAACGATCTTCAGATGAGTAGTCACTGCAAGTTTTGTTTTTGGTCTACTAGATGGCGCAACAGAAGAACAAATTCAAGAATTCCTCGAGGAAATACAGCTCATGAAACAAATCGGGTATCACCTGAACATATTGAATTTATTGGCCTACTGTACTATGACAAGTCCAATGTTCCTTGTAGTGGAGTTTGCAAAGAATGGCGATTTACTTCACTACCTCAGGAAAAGAAGAGAGCAGGTGCAATAAGATAACTGAAAATCTCACCTTCTTGTCGGTAAAAAGACCTACTGAGCAACTCTTTGTATTGTTCTTATTCGAACACGAGTAAATGAGAAAGATAAGGCGCGAAGATCCCTCAGACTGTGCTTCAAATTGTTTTGAGCTTCCTTTTCCATCTAAATGTTTAATCATATTTTTTTTTTTTTTTGAGGAGGGAGGGGGGGGGGGGGGGGAAACGTGAAAACATTTTAGAAACAGTTTATATCTCTGAGCATGTTATACAGCAAGATTTATAAATATGAATTTCAAGATAACTTCTCGCCAGTATAACATAGAAAGGTTGCCATAAATTATATAATTTGCCTTTACCCATTTATTTAAGCGCATGGAGAGAGCTAGACATTGTGAAAGTACAGACTCTTGCATGTCGAAGAGATCGCCTCACACGCCATAGAGCTTAATTATTTTACATTGTTTTACTTTTAAGGTCAAACAAGCTTTTGAAGCGACAGCAGAAGCAGCACCCCTCAACTCAAGATATCAAAACGAAGAGGTCATAAATGAAGGGAGCTTATATGAGGTAAAGTATACATTTTTGACTCATTGTATTCGCTTTAATTTGCACCTTCTGCAGAGAAGAGAGACGGAGGTGGTAATTGGTTAGGGCGCTGGACTCAAATTATATAATCCACTGAATGTTTGAGATTTTTGACCTTGTGCTTGGGCTTGATGACTATGCAACTACTGGATTTGAGATCGACCCTTCTCGGTTCGATATTTGCAATCAGTGAAACTCGACGTTTCTCGGCTGTTTAATAACTGGAAGTTCGTTTCATTTGGAAACTAGTTTGATTGCATGCATTTATTTAGACGAAATAGGCAGCCACACTGAGTTTACAGGGGGACTACAGTTAATAAAAGAAAAGGCAGCCTTTAAATAAGTGTTTGTTCCCTTTTCAGTGCACCAGCGACAAAAACCGATGTGAAACAATCGCTCATCGGAGTATTCGGGATAACAATGGACCAGAAAGGGATTTCATGACTAACAGAGACAACTTACATGACGATGATATTCTCACACCCGCTGACCTCATGACGTTCGCATGGCAGATAGCGAAGGGAATGGTATGATTTAAATGATTGTAGAGATAAATGTGTTAGATTGATACTTCGACCGTCCTATATTAACATATCGCTGGTTTAAGTTCCCGCTGAAAGATATAGCTTTTATTAACAATTTCTGTAGCAGTGACCAAAACGTCCCTTTCTTATTTCACATAGGAGTTTTTGTCAGGTGAAGGATTCGTCCATCGTGATCTAGCGGCGAGAAATGTTCTCGTTTGTGAAGGCAAGCTGGTGAAGATAGCCGACTTTGGATTGTCGCGCAACGTGTACGTTGCGAAAGTGTACCATGCTACAAAGACCAGAAAATTGCCAATCAAATGGATGTCACCGGAAGCTATTCATGATCAAGTATTTACGACAGAGAGCGACGTGTAAGTTAAAAATATCACGTGAGAGGAGTCGGCCAGGTTTCTAATAAGCGATTAATCAAATCCAAGTTAACCGCTGTTTGGGAAATCTAGTGATTTATATAGGTGCCAAAATAAAATTAGTTTTGGTTGGCAGTTAATCTTTGTGACTAATTTGGTGACAAACGTTTGCTTCAGGCAAATTTTTCAATTTAGGTAAGGTGCTTAGCTTGATGGATGGTACTCATTTTCTTTTCTGCTTGGAGTTGTTTACCAATAACCATAAATCTTATAGTGTCATGATGTCATTCATATCAACAGGTGGTCAAAGGGCATTCTACTTTGGGAGATTTTAACAATCGGTGAGTAGCATTTCCACTTTCGCCTTGCCAGTTTGGAAGATATATCCTTTTGGCTTCCTAGCTAAGTTGATAGAGTATTACATCTAATTTTCCCTTCTTCTTTGTTTCTAGGTGGGACTCCATA